ACTTTGGCTCAGTTTAAAAAAAATAATTCTTTATAACAAGGAATAGTTCTCTGGGAAGGGGAGGAACACATTTGGAAATCAAGGTGATATAAAAATAAAAGAAATTGATAAGTATTTCTTTTAAAAAAAGTTATAGGATTATAGGACGATAAACTGGAAAGGTTCTTGGGGAACATCTGTAATCGTCCATTGCCCTCATATCATAAATTGGGAAACTGAGGTCCAGAGAAAGGATATGAATTTGGGGTGTTTGATTTAGCTGTCTACCCCAAATCTTTTCTTCCCTATCACATGGGACAGATCCAAGGGACCAAGAGAAAAATAAGGTCATTGACCTAGAATTGGAAGGGAATTCAAGGCCATTTAGTCCAACCAGCTCATTTTACAGATAAGGAAACTGAAGCCTAGAGGGGTTATGTGACTTGTCCAGGGTCATACAGATAAGAAATCAAATCTCAAGCCTAAATCTTCCAATGCCAAATCCAGTTCTCTTCCTATAACACTACAAATAAAATGACTTCTGGGTGGTGTAGAAGATAGAGCGCAAAGCCTGGGGTCAGGAAGACTCGTCTTCCTGAGTTCAAATCCAGCCTCAGATACTTACTAGCTATGTTACCCTGTTTGCCTCAGTTTCCTCAACTGTAAAATGAACTGGAGAAGGAAATGGCAAACCACTCCAGGATCTTTGCCAAGAAAACCCCAAATGGGGTCACAAAGAGTCAGACACAGCTGTGCAACAGCAAATAAAAGGCTGTAGACCCTTCTTGTCCACAAAAGCAAACTCCAATGGGTGCCCTGAACCACAGTGAAATCTACCCAGGCACCACCCTGGATCACGGAGGTTTTCAAGTGAAGCCAACATGGCCCGCCCTCACACTCCCTGCTCTGAGATCATCCAGTTGACAACCTAGCCCTAAGTGGGAAGGGAAGGCTTGACAGGTCCATAATGCTAATGGAATAGATTTGAAAGATGTTAAACAAATAGTGTCCTGGCAAGGCAGGCCAAGGGGGAGAGGAGCAATGAGAAAGCCAGATTTTGGTGCCGAGCCCCCCCCCCTTCAGGATCTCAGTATTCAGAGGAGGTGCTGGAAAGAATCTGTGGAGACCCCCATGGGCATTCATGACTCAGACCCTGGAAGGCCTGAGATAAAGCACATTAGCGACGTCAGTCTCATCAGCAGATGACTTTCCTAAGCCTTGAATGTTTATTGAGAGTATTGAGACAAGCCTATTCATCTTTTCCCCTATAAATATGCTATCTTGGAGCACCAGGGCCTCACACTGAGGTCTCCATAGCAACTCGTTCTAAGTTCTTTGGCTTTGAAATTGGGAGGCTGAGCTTTCCCGGGCAGAGTCCAAATGAGAGGCAGTGTGGTGCCGTGGAAAGACACCTGGGTTTGGAGTCAGATCTAGCCTTGAATCTTTGCCCTGACGTGTAAGATCTGGGTGACTTCAGGCACTTTACAAAAGAAGGCAGGGTCTCTAGCCGTAAGGAAATCCTAAATCTGGCCCAGGGCTAGTAACACTTTTTGTGTCCTAGACATAGTCTGCTAAAGCCTATGGACCCCTTCTCAGAATTATGCTTTATTGCCTACATTCATCATTTAAAGGAATGCTAAATTTCAGTTAGAAGTTATTGAAAATACAGATGTAAGTAGGGTTTTTTTTTTTCTGTACATGTTCATGGAGCTCTTGAATTCTCCTCGTGAACCCCAGGTTAAAAATTTCCTATTTGGAGTTAGAAGTGACCTAAACTAAGGGACCTCAGGGGCTATCTAGAGTAACTGCTTCATTTTACAGGAGGGGAAACTGAGGTCTGGGGAAATCATAGGGTCATAAATGCTCAAATGCTGTCTAGACAAACTCCCTTGTTTTACAAAAGGGGAAACAGGTCAGTCCAGGGAGTAAGGTTCCTTAGTTTATATTTGATGCGTTCCCCGAGGTCCCACAGGATAGACACAAAGAATCAAAAAGAAAAGTAAGGAAACTGAGGCCCAGGGAGTGACTGATTTGTCCAAGGTCATACAAGTAGTAAGGGAAATACAGGATCCCATGAGATGCACAATTAGAGGACCTGGGTTCAATCTTGGGTGTGTGGACACTTAAGTTCTCTGAACCTCAGTTTCCTCATCTATAACAGGAGATTGGACTAGACCTCCAAGGTCCAATCTAAGGTTCTACATAGTACTAACAATATCTTATATTTCTATAACACTTTCAGGCTTACAAAGCACTTTCCATACAACACCTCCATGCTATAGTGAGTGCAAATCAAGTGGTGAGGTGACTTGCCTAAGGTCACATAGCTGATAAGGGTCAGAGCTGGAATTTCAGCCTAGTTCTTCTCACTATATCACCCTGCCTTCAAGGCCAGGCTGACCTCATAAAAGAAAGAAGAGAAGGGTGATGCTGTGGAAGGAGTCAGGAAGACTCATCTTCCTGAGTTCAAATCTAGCTCCAGACACTATCTATATGACCCTGGGCAAGTCCACTTAGCTCTGCTTGCCTCAGTTTCCTCATCTGTAAAATAAGCTGGAGAAGGAAATGGTAAACCACTGCAGTGTCTTTGCAAAGAAACCCCCAGATGGAGTCAGGAAGAGTAGGACACAATTGACCAACAGAAGAAGCATGGGGTATATAAAGTGATGGGAAAATTAAAAATAAGAGTTCAGGGACACTGCTAAGAATTTGAGAGGGTTTGGAGTAAAATTCAAGGCAATATTTGTATTGTAGAAGCTCAAGCACCAGGACTTGCTGAGCCATGCCTGAAATGGCGTTCCCTATGGGGAATTCGGGAAGGGCACGGAGTTGACTTCTCCATGGGTGAAACCAGGTTAAAGTGCACATCAAAGACTATTGAAGGAGAAAAGAAATCCCCAAAAGGCAGTACATAGGGAGGGAAAGATGAAGAGGGATTTGTTTGTTTGTTTGTTTCGGGGGGGGGGGTTGTTTTTTTTTTTTTTTGTCTTGTGGAGAGGTGAGGGAAGAGGAGTAGGGCATGGGCTGATTTATGTACACAAGTCTGGGGTTTTTCCTTCATTCTTTTTTTTTTAATTTAAAAAGTGTCAGTTGGTATTTTTTTGTTTTTATATGACTTTAATACCTAAATATACCCTTCACCCCCCTACTATCCAAGGATCTCTTATATAATTGTTTGGCTTTATTGGGGGAGGGTTGGGCTAGGCAATGGGGTTAAGTGACTTGCCCAGGGTCACACAGCTAGTAAGTGTTATGTGTCTGAGGCCAGATCTGAACTCAGGTCCTCCTGAATCCAGGGCTGGTGCTATATCCACTTCACCACCTAGCTGCCCTGGCTTTATTTATTTTTTTTAATAAGACCCAAAAAATCATCTCAACAAAACCAACGTGGCGACCAAGTCTGACTATATATGTATGTAAATAATATTCCACACCTGTAATCTCCCACCTATGCGAACTACATGAATCTTTTTTCATCCCTTCTCCAGTGCCAATCATCAGACGTTTATTTTGTACCTCTTAGGGGTACAGCATGAATCAGATTTAAAAAGTTCAGATAAGACACAATCTCTGCTCTCAAGGAGCTCATGTGGACCGAGGGGAGGGTAGAAGTTGGCACCAAGATAAGCCTAGAGATAAAGCCCAGCTCAGATGAGGACTAGCTGGGAAATCTTGGGCAAGCCGCTTCATCTTGGAGATGCGTCTGTGAAAGAGGAAATCTCCTTGCCTTGAGAGGGATGATGTGTTAACTTTGAAAACTCCTTAGAAATGGAAGCCCCATCCAAGACTTCCTTGGGTACCTCCTCTTGGCATGGAGGTGAGCCCGACTGCCTAAAGACCCCTTATGGACCCTCCAGCTGCTTCTGTTTCCACGTGTATAAAACGAGAGCATTTGGGTCCCTTTGGGCTCTGCGTCCTATGCTTCAGGTCTGCCTCCAGCGCCTCCCCCAGCTCTCCTGGCCCCTAACCACCCAGAGTAGCTACAAGCCCCCATTTCTTCTCACTTTGTTTCTCTGTGGGAGGGCCTTCTGCCTCCAGGTATGGCCTTTTAATCTTCATTGTCTCCATCCTTCTCCTAAGTGCTTCCAGCTGCTCTGAGCCACTCCTCCCAAGAGCTTCCTGGCTCTGTGTCTTGAGGCTGTTGTGGAAATCAGGGGGAAACCTCTGGCCCCACACAGTGGCTAAAAGTGTGGGATAAGCCCTGGACATAGAGTCAAGGGGACTTGGGTTCAAATTCTGACACTTAATAGTAGTGCGCCTCAATTTCTCCATCTGTATTTATTACTTATGTAAGCTTGGGGAAGTCATATTACCTCAATGGTCCTCAGTTTCCTCTTTTGTAAAATTAAGGGATTGGGCTAGATAGCCCCTGAGGTCCTTTCCAGCTCCAGATGTCTCAGTTTCCCCCTTTTAATTTTTCAATCTTTTTCATTTTCAATCTTCAACCAGGAAGGGCTATCCAGGGTGGGACTGAGCTGCCCAGCTGAACCTGATCTGATTCCCGTAAGGAAATGCCTTTCTCACCCAAAACCAGTGAATCATGTTCCCTTCAAGCCCCAAATCTAAGGCAGATGGGTAAACTGGCTGGTAAACCTTGGGGAAAAGGCATCTTCAAAGTTGCTTAAACTCCCATTGCTTACCGAGGGCCAGTAAAGTTGCAGAGGGCATTTCTAATTTATTAGGAGGTTACATTGGGTGTCTTATAGGGTCCCTTACAGACTAAGATCTGTGTTTCTACATGACACAAAAGTAAAGACTGGACTTTGGGGAGAGAGAAGGAATTTTGGAGGTGAAGAGAGTCAGACCTCAGGAAAACTATATTCCAGAGGACTTCAGCTCAGGTGGTTTTTTAGTTAAGGGACCTTAAAAGACATCTAGTCAACCCCCCCCCTTTTACAGATGAGAAAACTGAGATCCAGAGAGGTTAAGGGCTTTGCCCAAAGTTACACAGTAGATGGAAAGGCTGGGGTTCAAGCCCAGACCCCATAGTTCTAAATCCCACGACCTTTCCGTCAAACCAGGTGGAGGAAGGTTGCTACCTCTCTTTCAGGTAAGTTCTGCTTAAGTCTTTTATTCTTTTTGATTCCTCCTCTTCCTATACATCCAAAGCATTCATTTCCTGCCCCGTACATTTTTATTAGAATATAAGCTCCTTGAGGGCAGGGACCCATTTTGCTGTTGATAATGAATCCTATCAGCCGTGTCCACTTTCTGTGATCCCAACTGGGGTTTTCTTGGCAACTTCTGCCTTGGGTCCTGAGAGCTCAGCACTGTGTCTGTCACTTAGCAGGTGTCTAATGAATGCTTAATTGATTTTTATTATAATAGATTTAATCCTAAATTACATATTGTTCTATATTAATCCTCTAATTTATTTTGGGTGCTGGTTTTCTTTCCCCAACTAGGTCCTAAACTCCCATAGTGTGATAATTAATATTCATTACTTCAGGGCTCTGGGGTTTTACTCTTGCCTGGGAGTTGGAGGTATGGTGGACTAGTCCTTGAGAGTCGATTATTAAATTTTCATTGTGAGCACTTATACCTTGGAAATTGATAAATGCTACCAATTGGGTCTTGATTTATTGCTTTGTTTGATTGGCTAGACTTGAGAAAGCAATGGAGAAAGTATTAGTAAAATAGATTAAATTTACAAGTGCCAAGTTTTCAGGGAGCCTGGTTGTTAAATTTCCCAGAACGCTCCTCGTTGGAACCCTATCCACTGGCGCAGTCCCCAAGCATTTATTAAGCACCTTCTTACTGTCTGCTCCAGGCATGGTGGTAAGGGCTGGGTTCTTTCTGTCTTGTCCTGGTGGGCTTTCTCCATTGTAGTTCCAATCTCTTTCATCTATTTGGAGGAGAGGGAGTTTAGAGAGCCCCACAGAAGAAAGAAACTGGGCGATGCTCCAGAAAACAAAGGCTTTTTTTTTTAATTTGGCACATTCAAACTCACATGAGGGAAAGCATTTTAACTTCAGAGTTCCTAACTAACTTAGAACTGAAAGGAACCTCAGATGGCATCTTCTCAAACCCCCTAATTTTAGAAAGAAGGAAGAAATGGCTTCCCCAGGGTCACACAAGTACTAAGTAGCAGAACTCAGCTTCACTGCCAAGTCTTCTGACTGCAGATCCAGGGTCTTTCCCCCTGGTCATGGGACTTGCTCAAGGCCACACAACAGATTTAAACCCAAGGTCCAATGTTGTTCCTGGTCTAAGGTCAGCCATTTCCTTCTTGTGTGTATCCTGAAAGCATTCACACACTTCTTGGCTCACAATTGTTTCTTAGTCATTGAGTTGTGTCTGACTCTTCATGACCCCATTTGGAGTTTTCTTGGAAGAGATCCTGGAGTGGTTGGCCATTTCCTTCTCCAGCTCATTTTACAGATGAGGAAACTGAGGCAAACAGGGTGAAGCGACTTGCCCAGGGTCACACAGCTAGTGAGTGTCTGAGGCCGAATTTGAGCTCAGGTCTTCTTGTCTCCAGATCCACTTCCTGGAGCATGGAGAGGTTAAATTATTTACCCAGGATCACAGTGCCAGTCTTTCATCCTTTACTAGTTGCCTGTTTCTAAATTCTGAGGCCCTAGTGAGAGATGAGTAAATTGGGGAGGCAGGAAGCACGTCTTTCCAGTCCTTCGCCTCCCCTATTTCAGGTCCCACAATCACTGGGCCCTGCAGGGTGGGCCTGCTTTCCGTTTGTAGGCGTCTTTTCCACTGCGCCCCAAACTAGAACCAACCATTATCTGCTCATCTGGATGCCCGTTTCAAGTCACAACGCAGGAAAGGCTTTTTATCTGCGAAAGGAGATATCTTGAAAAGCTGATGAGTGTTCTCTTGGCACCCAGCTCCCTGGAAGGCTGCCGCGTATGCACCTCACGTTACCATGAGTTCTTCGTGTGCCGAGAATAGCTGGCCGAGGGGTCTGTTTGCCGCCGATGTCTTTGTCTTGAAACTTGAGGGGACCAGAGCGCGATGCTCCCTATCTTGGTCAGATAGACTGGGCAAAGGTCCCATCCGCCAAGCCCCCACAGTCTCCTCCAGCCGCGTGAATATAATTGCTAATATTGATTCCCCGTGCTGTGGTACGGGGAAAAGAATACAATTAGCATCTGAGAATTGGAGTCCAGTTCCCAACTCTGATGGATAATTCCACCTGTGTGGCCTTGGGTAAGGCGCTCTACTTTCCTAGGGCTCAGGTTCCTTATCTGTAAAATGAAAAGGGTGGAGTAGGTGACCTCTGGGGTCCCTTCAAGCTCTAGAGCTATTATCCTGTGTACATCTGGAGACTATCGTCTCTCCATTAGGAAGTTCCTCAATTCATGTTCATTCTTTCTATTGTACTATACAAATCCCCTTCATAAAACAAATCCCCCTAATAAAAGGAATTGTTCTGTGAAGTTTGGATTGAGGCAAAGGGCTGCCCTTGAGGACCTAGAGGGCCCCAGACCTGGGCTAAACTGTTTGGGGTTTTGCTCCACGAGGCCCCGGCACAGAGCCTGCCACACAGAAGGGTTTGTTGAATTAAGTTAGCATCTTTATTTTTAATCAGACTCTGAGTTTGTGACAAGTTTTATTTTGAGGGGATAAAGTAGGCTGGAGAGAGGGTGATGATAAACTGAGGCATCAGAGATCTCATGAAAAGGAACAACCAAGCAGCCAGTGGTCGGTCATAGAGAGGCTGCAGGGCACAGTGGATAAGAGGAGCTGGGTTCAAATCCTGATTCTGCCACTTCTACCTGGATGATTGCTTAAGTTACTTTATCTCTCAAGACCTCACTCTCCTCACCTGTAAAATGAGGAGTTTGAATTAGATAGTTTCTAAGGTCCCTTCCGGCTCCAGATCCATGTATAATCTCTAATCTCTCTGGGCCTCAGTTTCCACATCCATCATATAAGAAGGTTAGACTAAATGGCCTGTGAGGTCCCTTTCAGCTCTAAATCTGTGACCTAAAAATCTCTTTGGGCCTCAGTTCCCCCATCTGTAAAATGGGGAGCACTTTTCTTTCCCACTCTAAAGTGAAGGTGTTGGGCTAGCTGAGGTCCCTTCTCTCCCGAAATCTTTCCTCCCTAATCTACAGCTTTATAATAACCTTTGAACTGGGTGAGGCTCCCTAACTTTGTGTCAGGAAAGGAACTTTCAGCTCCCCAAGTCACAGATGGGCACCCTTCTTTCTCCAAAGAGCTTGAGTTGGGGAAACTCTGAAAGTACCCACAGCTGACTGCTCCTGGCTCTCGGAAAGGTGGAAATTGATTCATGCTTCAGGAATTCACGGAGGATAGTGAGCAGAGGAAAGGGGAGTTTACAGCTTATATCTGGCCCCAGTGGAGGCTGGGCAGCCACAAGGCCTCTGCATTCCAGAGGGTCTTCATGTCTGCTCAGCCAGGTGAAATGTCTGTCTCAAGAAGAAAAGCTGAGGAGGGATTTTAGGATCTTTTATTTCCCATTGGCCAAACCACAAGGCACGAGAACTTGCTTCAGCCAAAGACACATCTCCACAGCCTCCAAGACCCCCAAACAGGTTGGGAGGGCATAGAGTCAGATGATCCGATTCTGGGGATTGGGGCAGAAGGTTGGGCCAGCCTTCCCTTAGTGGAAAGTTGGGTGCCTACAGAAAACACTTAGCCCCGTGAGGAGAGCACAGGCATTGGCTCACGTTGAAAAGAACACATTTCAGCCTATCGCCTCTAGTTAGATAACTGAGGGAAGGAAAAAGGGAATAAAGTATGTATAGAGAGGCTACTATGTGCCAGGCACTGTGCTAAATGCTTTTTATGAATATTATCTTACTTGTTCCTTATGAGGGATGTTATTATTATCTCATTTTATAGAGGAGGGAACTGAGGCAGGTAGAAGTTAAGTGACTTGTCCAGGGTCACACAATTAGTAAGCATCTGAGGCTGGATTTGAAGTTGGGTCTTCCTGACTCTAAGCCCAGCACTACCTCAAATAAGTTCAATAAGCATCTGATGAGAGGATCTCTTCTGTGCCAGGCAATCTGCTAAGTAATCGATTCATTTGTTGGACTCCTCCAATCTTGTCCTTTGGGCTATGGAGATGTGTAAAGGAACCTCAAAGAGTTTACATTCCTTTGGATTATCCAAGTCCTCTTCCTTCAAAGCTCAGCTCAGGTGACATGTCCCCCATGAAGAACCAGGGAAGACCTGGCTTTGACCAGCCTCATTTCTGACACTTATTAGCTATGTGTCCCTGAGCAAATCACTTCATCTCTCTGAGTCTATCTGAGACTCAGTTTCCTTCTCTGTACAATGGGGGAAACAGTACCATCCCCCTCGAATCTCTTGCAAGGCCCAAATCTTGGAAGGGAGTATGGCACAATGGAAGGAGCTTTGATTCTGGATTCGGAAGGTCTGGGCTCAGATGCCAACCCCGACTGCCACAGAATGATGAATGGAGAACCAAAAGGGGCCATGGAGGTCATCAGATCCAATCCCCTCCCCTTACAGATGGGGAAACTGAGGCCAAGGTCACATAGCTAACAAATGGGGTTCAAACTCGGGTCTTCCTGACTCAGTGACCCCAACTTCTGGGGGCATCAATTTCCTCATCTATCAAATGAGCATAGTTGACCTAAAGGTCATCTAGCCCCAAATGTATGATCCTATAATAATGTATGCAAATTGTTAGCAAATATTAAAGGCAGTCCACAAGCATTCATTAAGTTCTTACTTTGTGCCAGGCACCCCTCATCCCTCTCTTCCCCTTCCCTCCCTCTCTTCCTCTCTTGCTGTCTTACCGCATCTCTATACACACACACACACACACACACACACACACACCCCTGTGTGTCCATATATAGAAATCTCTATATATGTAAATGTATGTGTATAGAGTACTCTATAAAAGACCACCATCATTCTATGAGTCTTCCTAACTTTATAGAATCATAGGATCCTAGTTCAACCCCTCGTTTTACAATTAAAGAAACTGAGGCACAAAGCTGAAGCCACCTTGTTAAAGGTCAAAGAGGAAGTAAGTGGAGAAGTTGGGCAATGATCCCGGGTCCTCTAACCCTAAATCTGGGGGCCTTTCCA